AGAGAGAGAGAGAGAGAGAGAGAAAGAGAGAGAGAGAAAGAGAGAAAGAATGGGGAAGAAAAAAGGAACGAAGATAAAACTATTTTAAATCTAAATATAATAAACAATTCAATCAACAATTTATACCATTTCGATTAAATTTTGCTAAATTTCACTTTACTTTTTTTTCCTAAACAAACTAAATTTCATTTCATTTTCCAATCATCCGTGCATATTTCTCTTTTAATTAATCGTAACATTCAAATATTTGAATAAATAAAATTTAAACAAACATTTCATTATGTCATTTTTAAACATTCAGTAGAAAAAAAGGCGAAAACTTTCATAGTTTTTTACGATAAATGAAAAATGAAAATTGAAATTTCTGCTTTTTAAATCATGGCTTTTATATTTATAAAAAATAATAGAGTAATAAATGATTTGATAAAGTAACGAAATTTTGATATGACAAATATTCATAAAGACTTTCAAATCAATATTTTAATTAGTCAAGACTAATCAAATACTTTATGATCTATGCAAATGACAAACTGTACAAAAATATTAAGCATTTTTTTCTTTATTTCAAACAAAATATATGCATATGAAGAATGTAAAGATAACAGTATCATATGCATTATAGATAATAATATCAAAGATCACAGCAATCACTTATCATCTATTATCTATTTTATCTTTACCTTATCAAATAACCTGAATGCTTCACGATATTCGATTGCTTCTTCTTCACTAACACCTTCCAATTGTTCATTATTTGTTTGCTGTTTCCAACGGCTAAATAGCGACATTTTTCGATTGTTCGACATTTCCGCTCGTTTTTGTTGTGATCAGTTATTTTAGCAATAAAATTTTCGACAAATCTGTCCTCAATATGAACAATAATAATAATTTGCTTCCGTAGAATGCTTCAACATTAAGCTTAATGCTAAATTATGCTAAGCATTAAGCCCTAATGTTAAATTATATCTGAAATAAAAAAAAAATCAACCATTTTTCAATTAAAATTAATATATTTGTACACATACACACCTACACACACATATATACATATACACATATGTTCAACTATTTGTTTGTTTGTAATCAACAAATATAAATAATTTCAAGTTTTTATTCTACTGATACTTTTCAAACAAAATAAAGCGAATTTGAAAAAGGCATGCCTAAAATAGCCAATTAATTAATGGATTTTCTAAGCCTAGTAATTATATAAATGAAATGACAAAGAGAAAGACTTCTAAATATCGTTAATTATTTTAAATTTTAAGATAATGTCAAATGATTTGAAAACTTCCATTTTAAAAATTTGGAAAAAAAATTTCCATCGATAAATTTAACATTAATACTTTGCATACATAATCCATTAAACGAAATGATAGACATTAAAGAATTAGTACAGTGTATGCAATAGCTTAAAAACAAAAAAGAAAAAACTAATTGGAACACATCAAAGTATCAAGTTATTTGTTCTTTGGTTAAAAATTATGAAAATATAAAACCTATAAAAACAGTAAAGCAGGTATGGTGGGTGAGGTGCACTTCAGTAGCATGTAAAATAAATTAGTACTATCGATAAAGGAAAACTGGAAATGAATAAATATTTTCAACCGGGAACTAATTTCAAGGATCAACTAGGCTATTTAGTTTAATTGAAGAGTAAATTATGCTGCAAAAATTAAATTACATTAAATGGGAACAACAAGTTGGATTGATATTTTAACCAGTCGGAAGAAAATTGTGCCAGAAAAAATTTTCTTTTTTTCACCGTCACGAATTATTATGGAATGAACAATATTAATATTAATAAATATGCAAATTTTATTTAAAGTATTTTTCGTCACAATTTATGTGAAAAAAAGAAAACAAAAAGGATTAAAAAATGAAACAAATCAAACTTTAAGATTTTATTTTTAATTCGTAATAAAGACAATGTAAATATTTAATAAATTTTGTCAAAATTTTTGCTTTTCGCTTCAATTTATTTTTTATGGAAAATAAATTGCAAAAATATTCAAAATGTTAAACCAAAACAGTAATTAGTTATTCATCAAATCCGTATTTTAGCACATTAATCTTAAAAAAGTTTGCATCGATGCATTTCACTTATTCTACCAATTTTGAAATTATTAGTCATCAGTTAAATACATAAAATGTTTTATGATTAAATTTCACAAATATCTTAGCACTTTTCCAAAAAGAAAAAAAAGAAAAAGAAAAAAAGAATGAAAATTTTTGTTCCGAAAAAAAAACATAGAGTCTGCAAGGATCATAAATCATCATAGATATATAATCAGTATATCCTAGATGTGACAAACCCTTTATATTCATTATTCATATGACAAAGTAAATTTATTCACTTAATGACTCATTAATTCATTTCTTAATGATTCCTTTCTAAATCATACATGATAATTATAATGCATTAATATTATTCAAATTATTGAAAAATAATTATGTTATTTTCGTTACTAAATGAATTTATTCATATTGTGCATGTCACTAACAACAAACATCCAACAAATTTTAGATAAAAATAAAAATTTTTTAATTTAAGTATAATAATTGGTGCAAAATTTTCAATGCAATAATCACTAAAAAATGGAAGAAATAGAAAAGTGGTAATCAAATACAATATTTATGTTGAAAATTTGATATTGAAAAAAATTGGCATTGAAAAGAGATGCTGAAAAAAATCGATATTGAAATATTGAAAAAATTTACAATAAACCAAATCATTTTGGATGGATTTTTCAAATAAAAGCTACCAGAATGTACCAAAATCCCCTCGAGAATGTACCATTCAGTCATTTTGACTTTTGCTATCATAAAAAAAAGGGAAGAAAAAGGAAATATTTTAAAAAATATGAAATAACATCAATATTTTTATTTCTAAAGCTAATTTAACTCAACAAATTTCATTCAATTTTGCACAAACTTTTCCACCAAAAAAAATAAAAAAGAAAAGAAAACTTTGGTTTGTTTTTAAAAAATTAACAAAAGAGGTAAATTTTAAAAGAATTAAACAAATATTTCATTTGTTACATTTACCATTAACAATTGATGAATTTTCAGTTTCAATTACTGAAAAAGAACAACAACCTTCTGAGCAAAGAGCAAAAAACATTTGCTAAAAGTTTGCGTTTACAATGAGTGGTACTTTCGAAATTAAATTATTGATGGGTGTTACGGAACTCTTCCTTGGATAAAATTTGTTTCCGCTTCTGTTGTTTCTTGTTATTGATGACAATGATGATGATGATGATGATGTTGATGGTGGTGATAAGAAGAGATAAGGAACAAAAAGATAGATAGAAAAGTATGAAAGGATTAATGTGGACACTTAACTTTCCCTCAACATTTAACTTCTTTTTTTTTAGCACAGCAATGGAACGATGTGTGTGGAAATTTATTGAAAGGAATTAAAAATTTCAACTTTTTAAATGTATATTTACTTTTAACAAACTAATTATTCATTAAACTTTTCCAATCATTTTTAATTAGAAAAAGTGATCATTAGTAATAAGTAATCATTAATAAAAGTAACAACCAATCATTTCACGTGTATTAATTTATTAAAAGCAATTTTTGTTTCTTGAATTTTTTAATTTTTTAAAAGTGTTTTTGTTAAAAATTAACTGTTGATATTATCTTTGGTAATAGTAACAAATCAATGATGAACTATTTTAATTAAGTTTAACAAAAGGGTTAAAAAAGAAAAGATTGGAAAGTGTTAATTATATAAATTCGACGAATTTACTGTATCAGAATTATATTAACAAAACTATTTAAAAAAGGGATATTCATCAGTTAAATAAATTTTTTATCATTTAAAAATGTCATTGCTACTTAATTTGTGTTATATTTCAATTAAATGATTAATATAAGTTGACTTTTTTTTTTGTAAATTTCTAGTCATAACGAAATTTTGAAATTTTAGAATTTTGATGGATATTTTGTTACAGAATTGGCAACAATTTTATGAACTGACATTTTTTTTTTAGTCGGAGAAAGAGAGAGAGAGAGGGAGAGAGAGGAAAGGAAAAAAAACCTTTTTTCGACTTTTTTTTCCACGAGAAGAATTCAGATTTTTTTTTCTGCTTTAATTTTAGCAAAAATATTTGTTACTTTGATAAAATCTCATCAATGACGTCAATCACATTGGATTTCATTGGAAGCTATTAGGTATTAGCTGACGATGGCTTTTCATTTCTATGTTGCTATAAACATGTGTGAAATTGTTGTTTACAAAATGATTGAAGAATAACAGTAAAAATTAATCATGATTAATTAAAAAGGGATAATGTAAAGGAGGGAGAAAAGAAGTGAGAGATGAAAGAAGAAATGATAAGTATGATTAAATGGAGAAAAAAGTAAAAGGAGGAGAGAAGGAAATCATTGAGTGTTTTAAATTCTCAAGGGTATACCCTTGAAATTCTTGAAATGGAAAATGAAAAATATTTCTTTAAATAAATAAATGAATTGCAGCAGATATAGTTTTCCATTTCATGCTAGTTCGAATATAAATTTATCTGTCGCTCTTTTTCAAATAAAATAAATTCAAATAAAAAAAAAAGAATATATCTTGAAAATTTTCAATTTATTTGACTTTTTTTGGATTCAAACAAGAGAACGAATAGTATTAAATTTAAAAGATATCCTTCTTTATTGATAACTTCTCTTACTTTCCTTTCATTCAGTTATATACATCAAAAAGAATCAATGAATGCAAATAAATTCAAGCAATTATAGTCGAATGAAGAAAAAGTATCAATAAAATGTCAACCTAAATGATTTGAAATATCATATGCTTTCGATGTGACAAATTAACTTTGCTGGGATAACAAATGTTAACAAATATTAAATAAGCAAATGCTATTTCAAAAAATCGATAGATTAGTAATCGTTTTGTTATTAGGAACTAATAAATAATCTAAACTATTGAAGATTAACAATAATAAAAGTGACAGCGAAATGATGAGCTATATTAATGAAGCTATCTTTTAAATTATAATAATGCTAATTAAGCCTTACCTATATTATCACTGCTTACAAATTGTTTTATTAACTTCAATTACATATTTATTATCATATGTGTTATCATTTTTTTCCGTCTGTTATCATTGTCTATAAGATAAATATAAATTTCGTTTGATTAATTTTTTCACATTTTGTTATTTAATGATTTATTTATCAAAAAAAAGATTAAAAAATAGAAAATTTGATTTATTTTTTGATTTTTTTCTTTTTCTAAAAAGTAAATTGTTTGAGGAAAATGTGAAATGATAATAAGGAAGTTTAAGAAAGAGCAGTAATCCGTATCTATCCCTTCCACAAAACAGGAACACAGGAACAGTGATGATTTGGATTAACAAGGTGTAAAGTTGTTCTATTTTTGATGAGATCATTCCAAAGGTAGTGTAAGAGGTAGGGAAAGATGAGAAGATAGAGAGATATATACTACTGATTACATCACAATACAATTAACTGTTATCAGAAGAAAGCGGGGGAGTTGATGGAGTTGGAAGGAGGTGAAGTGTTGAGGAAAAGAAAACTCATCAATTATTTAATATATCCAGTAATGAAAAGAAGAAAGAATGATTGGATTTCGTTTTTCAGTATATTAATTCAAATTTCAATTCATCCATATCATTACTACCACTCATTTAACATCCTATCTTATACTTCAAAAAATTCATTTTTATCATCAAATGAAGAAAATTATCTCAAGAAAAAAAAATGAAATTCAATCATTCATGAATTATAATTACTTCATTTCGTTTTTTTTTCATTTTTTTTTTTTGTTGGTAAAAATAGATACAATGATTAATTTTAATAAAGGAAGATAATTGCTTTTTTTTCTTTTCATTTCTAATTAATAATAATTTGAAATATTATAAAATTATTGAAGAATGGAAAAGAGCGGAAATAAAAGCATTTTAAAAAAATGTAAAAAGTAGGAAGGGAAAACGAAA